TTTTTAAGGCCAAAGCAGATAGCTGATTCTTAAGTAGGCATATTGGCCAATACCATTCCAATTTCTGATATGCAGCTCGGTGGCACGTCTGTTGTGGTAGGAGAGGGGAAGGAAGAGGTATGGGGGTGGGGAGCAGATTGAGGCCCCTGCGGTGAAGAAGGGAGGGGGGGGCTGGGGCTGGGAAGGTGGAGTGGGGGATGGAGCCATGGCTCGTGTGGGGGGTGGGCAGCTCTCACCCTGCACACACCTTGTGGGAGGGGCGTGTGCCCCTGGATCTGTGCAGGGTGGGGTGGGCTTCCCCTGCAGGCTGGGGCAGGGGCTGGGCCAGGCTGCAGTTGGGGTGGGAGCGGAGCGGGGGAGGCTGCAGCTACCCCAAAATTCTCAGCTTCCTGCTTCCAGTGCTGCTGCCTGCCCTGCCCCGAACACAGCCTGGAGCAGCACACCCCCACCCCCATGTCCTTGCAGGGTGGGAGCCACCCCTACCTCGCTGTGACTGGGCAGCACCTGCCCCATGATCTCCCTCACCACTGGGGCCTTGATCTGCCTCCCCCCCTTCCACCACAACAGACTTACCAGCTGGATGCAGCTCTCCGCCCTGCTTGGCTGTCTTCCTCCTTGCCTATGTGCTGTGCTGCAGCTGTGTGCATGCACAGGGCATTTATTGGCCTCATCAGGCAAAAAAAGCCAATTTCCGAAAGTCAATTTTCTTTCTATCCATGCTGATCTGATATCAGACTGGTGTATCGGTGCATCTAGCCCTTAACTCTCTAAAAATGCAAAGTTTCCTGAAGTTAAATTTAATAGAGGATTGTTGGGTGTGGAATAGATCTGGGCAAGGAGGAGGATTCTGGACATAAATGCAAGGAGGGAGGGGCAATAGAAACAGAAAATAAACATTTTGAGCAGGCCATTCCAGAAGTCTTGAGGAATAAGATTCTGAGTATAGCCTGTCCGTTGATTTGAGATCTAGTGAAGAAATAGTATGGTAGAAGGGAAAACCTGTCATGGCAACAGGCTTGCCAGCATGTAAAAGAGACCCTGTTTAGAAATATTTTAATGAAGGTTATATCAAACAACAAGAATAATCATTGTTTTCTACAAAAAGTGCAAATTAAGGCTTTCTGACCAGTGATTTAAATCGTGACTTGGATCATGATTTGAATTGATTTGATTTAAATCAAATCCACCCTGACATTGCATGTGTTCTGTTGCTTCTGTTTGGTGATTTTAAATTGGTCTGACATACATTGTCTGATTTCTCTGCCTCCCCACCCCCCTTAACAACTTTTTAAGATGAATCAGATTTCAATTTGAAATGATTTTTAATTAGTATTTTGAAGGACTTATGGGAACTGGATGGCTAAGTTTAAATGAGGCAAAGTCAGCTTGTATTATAATCAAGGCTCTATCTACAAATGTACAGTTGGGCTACAGTAACATTTAAAAGGATGAAAGTGAGGATTTGAAGTAAAGTGAGTGTGTATCAGAATAGTTTTTTCCAAAACCTTAAATTAAGAAACTGACCCCTATTGTTAAACATTTTAGGTTAAGAATGACACAAATAGGGCCAATTCTTTTCTACAACCTGATATCTTAAACTCTGTAGATATTCACCTGAGTTAGATGCTGGTTGATGTTCCTTCTAAGTGTGGGGGACTTTTATTAAGAGAGAGCTCAAAGAATATTATGGGGAATATTATTTACAAGAAATTTAACTAACATCTTTAATGTTGTAGTGGGATTGTGGTTCTGACAGCTATCTGAGCAGGTTTTAAAGGGATGTAAAACGCTAATAGAATTATAAGAAGGAAGAAAAATAATCTTTCAGTCTGGTTTTGGCAAGGAGAGTAGGGAAGTGGTACTTTACATCCAAGATATATTGTTAATTTAGGTCTTATTGCTTAAATCTTTTGGAAAGATATTCTGACTTTATTATTTTCTGACAGAAAATTTAGTTGCTTCAATACTAAGCTCTCATTTTAAGCTGCATGTTGACTGCCGCAGAGGATAGACTAGATGTTCTAATAGATGATGATTCCATTTCTATTAATAGTTTTAGAAATTGCCGTGGTAGCTAAGGTAACACAAAGTAATGCGGAGTGTTCTGCAGTTAGGGAAATCATATCAATGGTAAACAACATCAAAATAAGCATAATGTAACATAGCAAGGTTTGCTCCTTGCACCATTTAAATGAAGGATTGAGTGTAGGAGTTTATGGAAATCTTTAATAATTGAGCTCTGACATAGTCTTGTTTTAAGGTAAATGGCTAATGAGGCTTGGAAAAAGTACAAGTTGAATTATTTTTGTGACCTAGAGTTTAGTTCAGAAGTTTGCTAAATAGGCTGTAACCAAAAAGAACATAAAAAACTACTTTATTTATTCAAATGTCATGCAGAACCTTAATTCTTTTTTTAAGGTGACTTGAAGCTAAAATTGTACTGTTCAATTTGCTTAAGGTTCTAATCTCTAATAGAACTTCTTAATAAAGCTTTCTTAATCCTGGTTTTTCCTAAAATTGTTTTCTCACTTTTCATCTATCTCCTGAAGGTGAGGTAGCATAGAACCTCATCCAAGTGACAGTGGTGCAGCTTAACAGCCTTCCCTTAATTCACTTCAGGGCCCACCTAAAAGATGCACTTAGTCTTCACCACGTCCTTTGTATGGAATGTAGGTTGTACATTCTGTAAAGTTTAAAGTAATTGTAAGAGAGAATATGTGTATATTTTTAGCTTTGAAAAGCGTAAATACATCCAGAGGTTACACAGTGTTCAGATTTTATCTATTGTCAAGTAATTTGGAATAGTTACAGAGGCGCCAACTAAGCTCCATCCCCTCCCCAAGTGCCGTTCTGATTCGTTTCTCCTCCTCCCTTATCTGCTGTACTTTCTGCCCCCTCCCAAGTTTGTTGCTGTGCTAAACACAACAGCTGCCCATGCCACTCTTTGGCATGCATGTTGCAGGTTGGCCACCCCTGATATAGGTTATTGACTGTAATATGTCTATAGGTTTAAAGAAGTAAAAGAGCAAGAATGGCCTGTTGCTGCTCTGTATTAGTACAGTATTTAGGAGTTGAACGATCAAACCTGAACACTTAAGAGTGGAGCAAAATGTTTGAAGTAGAAGTGTAGAGACTTTTCTTGAGGGGTTGCTTTTAAAAATCCAGCCTTGTTCTTTGAATAGCTTAGATCTAAGTATATTTGTTTGAAATCAGTAATCCACAACATCTACAGCTGATAGTTTTAAAGACTTGGTATCTGATGGGGTGATCTGAAAAGTCATTCCTAAATTTGGTTGGGGGATGTTCAGTTTTTAATCCCTCATTCCGTATGCTTGGCAAAAAAATTGTGGCTGGTCTTCCAGGACTTCAACAGAGATGGAGTTTGTACTCGTACAATCAGTAATACTGTTAGAATTCTATATAAAATGGTTTTGTTACAATAATATATTGTAGAGCAGGGACTCTCCATTCTTTCAATCCTATAGCCCACCTCCCCCAAGCCCATGTATGTCACCACAGCTTGCATCCCTTGTGGTCCTCTAACTAGCATGCTAGAGGGATGCCCACATGGTGCTGCATCCCCTTAGCCTGGATCTGTTTTGTGACACCTGTTGAGAAATGTTGCTATAAAACAGTGGCTCTCAACCTTTTTTGTACCAGAACCCATTTGTAAACATTGATGGCCAGTTCTGACCCAATGCCCCTCACTCCTGACCCATTGCCTCCAGGCCCCAGCCCCTCCCCCCCTCCCCCAGTGTGTGGGGCAGGAGGTATGTGTGGGGTATGCGGGGCCCCAAACAGCCCTTTGCAGGCTGGAGCTCTGCCAGCCTGCCAGGGGAAAGCTGTGGTTCCTCACCTTTTTCTCCTTTAAAGGAGAATCCATTTTTAAAGTTTGTTCATGACTTTCATATATTCTTGTGACCCAGTTTTGGGTTGTGACCCACAGGATGAGAAACAGTGCTATAGAAGGCTGGGTGCTAAAGTTCTTTCGTGTTTGTACAGTTTTTAATGTAGGTTATATAATATGTGCTTGCTTTCATGTGCATGCCTGTAAAGAAATAACATGCATAATCCTATTTATTTTTATATGCAGGTTCAGTGGTTAGCCAGTTTCATATGTGCATTTGTAAAACCCAACTAGCAAAGTTCTTAAATATTGTTACATTTAGCAAACCGTAGCTGGAATCCAAGATGCATGTAATTAGATTACAGCACGCTAAGGTTCCTGAAAGTTTGGCAGGTTCAAATTTTGTTAGTAAGAAACTAAACATATAATACTTTTAGGCAGAAGATTGTTCAAATGCTACCAGTGCACTTCATCTTCTGTAAAAATAGTCAAGTTGTATAGAATGCCATGGAGTACTTGGTTGTTACAAGGCAGGGAAAAGATTGCTCTCAATCTTGGTTTTCCTTCCTTTGGATGCCTTTCTGAATATGCTTGTGTATGGCATGCAAGACGGTGGCTATTCAGGGTATTGCCTATATAGACTGCTAGCCTGATGTTATCAAATTGCTCTTAATGATATTTACTCCTTGGTATACTTGTTTCTAGACAACATACAGTAAACAAAGCCAACTGATTCTCTCCTGAAAGCGCGCATTTAAATTTTGCAAATGTTTTATGTTAAGAATTTAATTCCTTTTTATGTTAGAAAATGATTAATCAGCTGGCACTTGGGTTTTTCCCCCACATAATATACATGACCAGTGGCTGGCAACCTTTTAAGGCTGTGGGCTGGATCTCATTTAGGTCAGGCTGGGCACTAGGACCCAGCCACAACCACTGCTTTTCCCTGTGATGGCATGGGGAAATTTCCTGCCACTGAATCCCTTTGTCCACAGTCTAGATCAAATGGCTCCATGGGTTGTAGGTTGCCAACCCCTTTCTAGAGAACAGCTGGCCTTCAACTTGCTTGCTGTACTTATAATCATAACTTAAGCTTTTCTTCACCTGACTTTTTCCAGATTTAATCTGATTCTAATTTTTGTTACATATGCAGCCTAATGGACGGTCTCTTCTTGAAGTATCTGAGGATGAAATAATTCAGGCTGCTCGTAAAGAGAATCTGAAGCAGCCACTAGATGCAGAAAAGAAGAATGAGAAGGTCAGTTCTTGATTTGAAACTGCAGTAAACTTTTATTTTTTCATATTTTTATGTTTGTAATACCTGAAGACCCCAACCAGGATTGTATATAAGCAGACAGAAGGTTCTCCATGCTATAGAGAGCTCTGATTCAATTTACTTTAAAAAAAAATCCAGCTGTTGGTTAGAGATATCTAAAATACTCAGAACCCACCTGATTTATGGAATGTTTGCACTTTGTATGAAAAAATTTTAAAATGGTGAACAATTACTTCTCTACATAAAAATTTAATATATCCACAGCAATTTTCATTTTTGTACATGGCTTCCACATGTCCTGGGGCAGTGATGTTAAAGATAAGGCCCACAGGCCTGATATGGCCCATGGAGCTACATAATTTGGCCCCCTTGGTGTTGTCTATCGGTCTCGATGTGACCCACAGGCAGTGTGTAAGGTGTACCAGTTGGCCCTGCCTGCAGTGCCTGTTTCAGCTTGCATCCCAGAGTAGCTGCCATGTGTAGAGCAGCTGCATGAGGCTCTGGGCCATGCATTGGCCAGATGAGTTTGACACCCCTATCCTGCAGCTTGAAAGGGAGTCATGGGCTTAAGGCTTACAAGATCTGGCCTTTAGATGATCTTGATATTCTTAATTTCTGAAGACACGTACATCGTTTTGAAGTCTAATTTTGCCAAACAAAGAATATACAACTTTCAGCTTTTTGTTATGCAATTAATTACGTGAATATTTTACTACTGACTTAACCAAATGTAAATTTGGTTCTTTAAAAGAATTGATGTGTATTTTTAAATGTAATGCTTTGTTGCATTTAAAATTGTTCCTACAATAGAATAGGGAGTACTATTTTCTTTCTTCCAGTTTTAAAGAATCTTGTACAGTCACCAAACAGTCAGTTCACCAACACACACGCACATAATCTTGTTGGTGAACTGACCATTTGTTTGCTGACTGTACAAGATTCTTTAAAACTGGAAGAAAGAAAATAGTACTACCTATTCTATTGTAGGAACAACAATTTTAAATGCATATATAAAAAAAAAATAGGCATATGGTTAAAACAGGTTTCTGTCTTGGCTTTTTTTGGTCCAAACTGCATCAAATTTCCCATAGAGTTGTACAACTGCAAATACATGTAAATATCTTCTGGCTTTACTTCTCATGTCAAATAGACTGGCATAATACTCTGATTTAGAGAAGATTGGAAAATATTGGTTCTGGCTACAAGTATATTGTTGCTTTTTAAGGGGGTTTTTTCTTTGCTATCAGTTTATTTAAACTGAAACTGTTTGGAATGCAAGTTCATGGTATATATTAAAAATATTTTGTCGATAGGATAAAAGACCATTGTATATCTTTACCAATTCTAAGCTGTTCATGTTTTTCTGGTTTGAGTCTTTAAGTTAGTGAAAATTCCTGCAGCAATACATTCTGTAGTATATTATGTTGCATAATAAGAAATGTTCTATTAAGGATTCTAAAAGAAGCCAAAGATCTTTGTGTTAAAGACATTTGGTGTGAAATAGTAATTTTTTTTTTAATCTCTCATTCCTTTTTTTTTTTTTTTTTCTCCACACATCAGTCTGACTTTGCCCTGCCATGAACAGAGCACAATGGAGCACTTACTTCTTAATTCTGGGTTACATGATAAATGATTTAAGAAGGATTAGTTTACTTTCTTTTATATATAAATCTCTAAGTAGGAGGTTTATTATGTACCAACCTGAAGCTTTGCTTTAAAACTACAAAATGTCCCAACCTAAACTATAATATGCTCAGGCTCTGTTGTGTGTGGTGGTGTCCACGCATCAGAGTAATCATAGTTTCATAGAAAAACAGAGCTGAAAGGGACCTCCAGAGGTCATCCAGTCAGAGGCAGGATCTTCCCCATCCAAACCAATCAATACAAATCCATTATGTAACCTGGGGTAGGCAACCCCTGGCCTGGTGTGGCATACAAAGTCATTTTGCTTGGCATTCGGGACTGAGGCTGCACTGCCACAACAAGCATCAGGCTCTTCGTGGCTCCCCTGGTACACCAACATCTTACACAAGTTGAGGTTGCAGGTGTTTTTGGCATTCTGCTGAAAAACGTTGCCAACCTCTGATCTAACCAGTTAGCAAAATTACGCAGTCAACCCTGATGCAACCATAGCCACAAGGCATAGCATCCTAACCTGCCAATGTGGTGCTGCTGCAAACGTTAAAGAGTCTCGTACAGGTTGTTAAAATAACACTTGAGATCCAAGTAAGAGGGCCATGCCCCCTGCTACAAAAGAAGCGCCCCCTCCCCCCCCTCCCCAATTTTACCAATCTGACCATGGCGTAAAATTTCTTCTTGACCCCAAATAGGGTAATTGGTCTGAACCTGAGCCGGAGGGTGGGGAAGCCAGGAACCTCTGGGTTTTACTCCTAGCAGGAGCATTGGGACACCACAGTCAAAATCCCCAGCCTTGGCTGCAGCCAATATCCAGTGATTCTGGGGAAGATTTTTTTTGGGGGGGAACCCTAACACATGCAGAAGCGAGAGAGGAAAACATTCTTTCCTGGCCCCATGTGGCAACCAGAAAAGCTCACCCATGTGGGAAATACCCATAGTAGAACATAGGCACAGCTACTTCTAGACCATCCCTGACCAGTGCCTGTCCAACCTTCTTGAACACCTCCAGTGATAGAGATGCCACAACTTCCCTAGGCAGTCTGTTTCACTGTTCTCACAATAAAGAAGCTTTTTCTGATATCCAAATTAAAACCTGCTTTGCAACTTCAAGCCATTGGTCTGCATCCTGCTCTCCACAGTAAGAGAAAAAAGGTGTTTTCCCTCATCTTTATAGAAGCCCTACAGATATTAGAAGATGGCTATCACATCTTAAGTGCCTTTCCTAGCAACTGAATTATACCTAGCTCTTTCAGTCTCTCCTTCTATGACTCAACTTCCAAGCCCTTTATCAGTTTTGTCACCTGCCTCTGGATCCTTTGCAGCTTCTCCATGTTCTTGTTAAATGTTGTGCCCAAAACTGCACACAGTACTGTAGATGAGGTCTAATCTGCAACAAATGAAGAAGCACTGTCACTTCCCATGTCTTTCAAATACTGCATCCCAAAACTATTTGCCTTTTATGCCATTGCATCATGCACCACAGAAGACAAATACAGTATTAAATATGTGATCTACGAAGACACCCAGATCCTTGTCCAGTGTGCTGCTATCCAGCCAGGTATTACACATTTTTTATGGGTTATCCTGAGGTGTAGCACCTTGCATTTATCAACATTGAACTTCATCTAATTAGTTCCAGCCCAGCTTTCCAATCTATTGAGATCCTTCTGAATTGTGCTCCTGTCTTCCAACATGTTCACAATCCTTTCCAGTTTTTTGTCATTTTCAAATTTACTCCAGAAGCTTTCTATGCCAGTGTCCAAATCATTAATGAACGTGTTGAACAGCACTGGTTCCAGGATGGATCCCTGTGGGTCTGTGCACAACTCATTAAAAGAAAAGTATAGCTAGAGAGTGTAGAGTTCAGGTATGTGCTGGTACTTTTCAGAACCCTGGACTCTCTTTAAGCTTTTGTGTAGATAATTAGGTAGACAGCCATGTTTGTCACCTGGAGAAATCACCCTCTTTTCATACATAGCTTGTACCATTAATAGATTGTATCTACTGAGTAAAATATTGAAAGCCTTGTCAAAGTGATGTTTCTTTGTGGTTTAGGACAGCAAGTAGCTGTCTTGGAATTAAGTGGTTATTTCACATATAAAAACTGCATGTAAACTGAAAGCTGAGACTTCTGCGCCTCAAAATGTATTTTGAATGAACATATAGCACTGTTTTTGCAAAATGTTTACATATTGTGTGTGGAGAGGGGGTAGGAGAGGGTTTGGGGTTTTTTTCACTTTTCTCTGCAGAGAGGCCAGTGCATATGACAGACTTTAGGCTTTTGGTATGTCTGCCAAGTTCTTGATGTTTTGTGCAGCTGGTGGCAGAGCCAAGATTGGCAGCCTTATGTGCTGCAGAAGGTGATCACTTAAAATGAATAGAGAGCCTTTTGTGAAAGGGCTGACTTCTGTTTTGTATATTCACCTTGTATGTCCTGGCTGTTTTTTAATTAGTGATGTCATTATGATAGTGACTATTGCAAACACAGACAGTTTGGCAGGTGGTAAGGAAGACCCACTGAATCCGGGTAAAGGGTGATAGTAAAGCAAATTTATAATTCTGAAGTATTGATTTTTCTTAATCCTTGTTTTTGGCAGCAGATAATCCCTTTTTTCAAGGCTTTATTGAATGATAACTATTAGTGTCCAGTACTCCTGCAATAATGTTAAAAAACCAAAAAGGATGATCTCTATGCAAGTTATATGTGTATATTTAGGCCTTATTTTGCTATTTATATTTGTCATTTGACAGATTTCATTCATTAATTTGAAGATTACCTTTAGCATATTCCTTCTTTGCTTTTGATAATATATAGAAACTGAAAGGTTTGGGCATGCAGAAGGATAACAGAGAAGTAAAAAATAGGTTTTGTTCTGAATTGGTTTTGGTTCTTGCCCTTCCTCTCTCCCCACCCCACTTGTCCATTACATCTCCCAAGTTCTTTTTAGTCATTGCGTTCGCAGATGCTGCCCCCCATTCTGTAGGCATGGCCTGTTTTTCGTTCCAAGACGTACACCATACTGTATTAATTCTTTTCTTTTAGGGCTTAGTTTTACCAATCAGTTTAGGTAGCTGTGAGACCTGTCCTTGTAACTAATTTCAAACGTAGATTAAACTGTCATTTCCCGTCTATAAATATATAATTCTTAAACTTTTGCTGACATACATTTTGTAAATCTCAGGTTAGAATTATTTGATTTCTTTGAAATAAAACTGAGTTCTTGTTTTATTTTTATTTTTTTTCTAGTCAAAGAAAAAAAAGAAATCAAAGGGAGATTCTAAAACAGTTCAGGACCTGTCACGTGTAGATGGAAAGGAAGTTGATGAAGGTACCAAGAGCAAAAAAATGCAGTTGAACTATATGTTGGTCTGTGTGCTATTTATGACTTACATATTTGGGTAAAAATGTAGCTACTTTCTTCCTAAATCCACTCTGTCTCAATGAGCATTTTATAGCAAATTAAATATTTAAAGATAAAGTTATTGCATGTTGTATATGAAAATCAAGGATGTCTGAGAGAGAAATTTAAGATGAGAGCTTTACAACTGTGGTACTGCAGTTTGATCTGTGAATGTTGAAATAGGGCATTTTTTGAATAATATAACTTGATATATTTTAGTAGTCTAGCATTTATCTTATCCTCCCTGAAGTGTTGTGACTTGTGTAGGGTGCAAGTTTGTTCAAAAAAATAATAAATCCTGCTACAGTTATCGTGTGCAGAAAAGGACATGTTAAAATCTGAATTGCATCATTTACCTTCTACTTGCAAAGTTTAGTTCTACGCTCCTCTTCTCACCTTTTTCTCGCCTATTGGTTTTGAATCTACCATATCTGTAGCCTATAAGCAAATTCAACTAGAAATCAAATTTAATTTTAATTGGTTTAGGTCCAGACTTATGGGAGGGTGGCACATACACAATTAATTAATTTAACACTTCTTTACCATATCTTACTAATCTAACAATGTTTTTACTTATCGCACTGTTTATAGGAGCCTGGGAAACTAAAATCAGTAACCGAGAAAAACGACAGCAGCGTAAACGCGATAAAGTATTGACCGACACTGGTTCAGTAGAATCAAATCTCCCTGGGTTGGATGCAGTTACCATATCCCCTGAACAACTAATACCTACACCATCTCTTCCAGTTGGTCTCAGAAAAAATAAAGGTATGAGAATGAAAATGGGAAGAGGGAAGAAAGACTGAAAACCAAGCAGTGCTTTAGAAATGCAAAATAATGTTAAGAACTACTTTTAGAAATAGGTGAAAAACAAGACTTATTGTGGGTGATATCTTTTATCATAATGGCATCAGCATCACTTCAGTTCTTGCAAGTGAAATATGAAGGCATTTGGAATTGATCCTGACCAATGGCAAACCTTGGCAAGCAATCGGAGCAAGTGGTGTTACCGTCTTCACCAGGGCATTAAAGTCCACAACAGGAGTTGGCTTCAGCAGTTTGAAGAGAAAAGTCTGCACAAAGCAAGCAGCTCTCAAACCACCCATTCATGGTGCATACACTTGCAACCATTGCCACAGATCATGTAAATCTTGATTTGGACTATTCAGTCACATGAGATGCTGCAAGCCATCTACACCATAGGCTGCAATATCCACAGTCTCTTGTAGACAAAAGGATGCCAATCATATTTGAGAGCCAAAATCCCAAGTGTTGTTAAACATTTGTTTCCCAAAAGATACGTGGCCTATTATAAGATCCCTGTTGTTGAGTCAGTGTTTTTTAAGTAGAGCAGATGAGAAGGTTTACAGTTCAGTACCTCTGGTACCAACTTGTGTGTTCGTACCTAGCCTGAATGTCCTGCCCCCTTTGTTTTCTGACTCCACCTGTGGAAGTTCCTTCACTTCTCTATGTAGTAATTTCACATCTGTATTAAAGTAAAAAACTTTTTTTGCTTCCAGTGCTACATCATTTCTTTTTTAGCTAGCCCTGGTAGCTCAAGAAGGGGGAAAAACTCATTGCCTTATTCTCTGCTAGATGAATAACTTCTCTAAGTAGACACTGTGATACCTCAAGATGCCAGCTCACTTCTAAGCTACTCTGCCTTGGTTGGGAACCAATCATGTGGCTAATTAGACAAAAAATGTGTTGAGTGATTTGATAAAGTAGCAAAAAGCTTCAGCTTAGTTTTTCTTAGGTGCTGTGCTATAGCAAATTCACATTCAGACTTTGACACCTTGGTGCCTTGAATCACTGCTGCTTGTGACCGCTGGCTTCCATCCTGACTGACTATACCATCATTGCCCTTGACTATTGAGTCATTCATTCTGTTTGTCTCTGTAGGGATGTGGGAAAGAAAGCAACCAAACACTTCAAGAAAAATCAAGCTTTTAGCTGGGTTATGTACTTAACTGCCATTCATGACCACCTGCCCCATGTAGGTTCAGACCTGCACATCCTATATTGTGCCGCACTATTTCAGATGTTGCCCTAATCCAGGTTAATTTCAAAGGCGTACGGGTGTATTGGTATCTAAAATCTATGTAAAATAAAAAGAAAATACCCACAGTTTTAATTTTAATTTTGCTTCTGCATCATAAGATATGTATATGCTTTGCATATTGTTAAAAAGATAATCCTTTGAAATATCTTACAAAGATGTTTTTATATCAACAGTGAATAGTGACACATACAATAGTTTGTAAAGGGTTTCTCTCCTTGAACTAGGTGATACACTTCTGAATGTTCAAGTTAGCAGCTCTAAACCTGCGAAAGGAGATTCAGCAATTCAACAAGGTAAGAGTTAGACTGCTTTGCATCCTAACGTATTAATTAATTCTGTAACGAAACAGAATTCTATTTTGTCAGAATGTAGGATTCTGAGCTGTACCTTTTGTTTTCAGCGTGTGTGTTAGGGCTTGGCGTCTTCTCAGAAAGAAGATATTCGCCCAAGAAAACTAGAAACTTTAGTTTGGCATTGCCAAACCTAGACAGTAACTTCTTATGCCTTGTGGTATAACTGACCTAAATTTATGAAAAGTAGTAATTTAGCTAATGTGTGTATGTTGAGTTATTAGAAGTGTCATGGCCAACAGAAGTTTCAATCATTGCTTCACATTGCTTCACATTGCTTAAAAGCAGTATTCCTGTGCAACATTGCTTAAAAAAAAGAAAATGCATGAGAAGGATAATGGAATATGATGATAAATGTAAGATGATCATATTGTGCTTCAGGAGTCTAGCTTTTAGGGATCAAAAAGCATTTTTCCCCATAACATATAATTTTGCTGCTTGTTTTTTTTGCTTTTTTCTGAATTATCATGTTGTCCAGCTGGCTATAAGATACTGAATAGGCATTATAGGAACCAGTGCTCTAAAGTGGTATAGTCCTTATCAGTGCCTGGTTGGTTCAGGCTCGTACTGATTCTCAACTCCAAAGCTAATCAGAATTCTTTCACAACTCATATTGGTGAGGACCTTGGGAGCTAGGGGAATAATGAGAAGAATATTAATCTCCCTTTGTGGCATGAAGCATGAATTGCATCCTGGAATCATCTGGACATATCTCACCTATTGGTTCCCTGCCACGTGTGGAACTTGGCATTGGTACTATTTGACTAAAACAGCCTTAATTTGATGTCAGATAAGAGTGTTTAGTTGCTTCCAGTAGGAAGAAAGTGAACAAAGCATACGGTAAAGATGAAAGTGGATAACAAAGCCCCTACAGCCCTGAGGAGAGCTGGTGAAAGAAAAAAAAATCTTGTTCTCTATCAGTGGTCATAGGAAGAATTTTGGAATTTTTTGTTCCCTTCCCAAAAATGTAATAAAGAAGTGAGAGAGAAAGATCTAGACATGTACATTTTTACATAAGTGGTTCTGTAAATCTTACTCAAAACAATTCATCATTTTTTCACCAGTGGCTTAAAAAAACCTTTAAAAAGAGGTTATAGGAGCTAATGGAAATTGTCTTGCAACAGATGATTCTTGCATTAACAGCTCATCTAACAGGTGATACCTCTCATTTTCTTGCTACTAACTGAATAACAAACATATGCAAATTGTATTTAAACACTTCATCCAGTTACTTTATTTGTGATGTTTTAAGCTTCTTCAGGATTGAGTGAAAGCCCTACTCTAAATGGAGGAAGCTGGAATGAGAAGTCTGTAAAAATCTCCCAGATTAGTGCAGGTGATGAGAAATGGGCATCGGTTTCGTCAGCTGCAACTGGGAAGAGGAAGACTGAGACATCTGCGTGGGGTCAGGATTCTGGAGATGCTAATGGAAATGGAAAGGATTGGGGTGTGTCCCTAGTGGGCAGGACCTGGAGAGAGCGTCCTTTGTTCCACGGCATTAGTAAGTTGCTCTATGAGAACGTTCTTGGGTCCCTTGAATTAAAAAATGTAACCACACTTGGCTGTGAGCCTTTTACATCTAGTTTCAGTGTGTTTAAACTATTAGTAATTCAAGGCATCTTCTGTTTGATAATAAATACAACTATTTTTATTGCCTTAAACACTTCTTTCCAAAACTTTGTTGTGTGGCTCTTCTGAGGTGTTTGAGGCTTGAGGTAAGAAGTTTTCTGTGAAGGAAATAACTTAAACTTTTGCTTCTAAAAAGCCTTTCCCTGTCCGTATTAATTTAGAAAATAGTTTTCTACTGAATGTTTTTTCTCTTTATTTCAATTTTTTTTATATACACATGCATATTATAATGTGAATATTAGTTTGGTGGTTTTGCTTTAGTTTCTTGTTGGTGTTGAACAGCAGCCAGCCCATTATTCCCAAATCTACAACATTTGGGAGGTGTGAAAGCGGCCCTCACACATCTGGCTCAACTCTGCCAACTGTAACTGAGGTGGGGTACAAATTTTAGAGCCTCTCTGCATTGGCTGTCCCTTTGAAACACTCAATGGGTGAAAGAATGCTCTAGGTCAGTGGTCACCAACTGGCTGATCTCGATCAACCAGTCGATCAGGGAGCCCCTGACAGTCTCTCTCTGACGTAGATCAACTGTCAGAGGCTCCACGATTGGGAGCGGCAGGATGTATGAGCAGCTGGCTAGGGCCCCCCTCACCCCTGCCCCCACTCCCTTCCTCCCTCACCGTGGGGGCTTTGCTCTCCCCCCCCGTCCCCCGACTGACTGACCTGCAGGAGGGGGGGAGGGCAGTAGATCCTGGATTGCCCTTTTACTTCAAAAAGTGATCTTCACCTTAAAAAGGCTGGAGACCACTGCTCTAGGTAATGATAAGCTGTATATAGTTGGAATTTCTTTACTGATCCTCTTTCTACATCTCTAGGTAACTAGCTAGTGGCCTGCAACATAGCAAAATGGAAAAATGAAAGTTTTTATCACACTTTTTCTTCTAGCTGCCTGGAATGTGGATGGAAGGATCAATACTTCTGAACAAAATTCTGCTTCTTTCAGTTCCTTGGGACTAGCTGCTGCAGTTTCTGGTATGTTTAACTTCCTAAATTTAGGGGAAAAAAACTTTGAAAAAGGAATTTGAACTAGACACAGTTCTGCAATGCAGCAGTGTTCTATATAAAAATTGTAGCTATCAAGACTAAGTTGTGGAAAATAATTTGTCAATCATTTTGTCAACCTGCAATTAGTTTTGATATATTAAACATTCTGGCCATAGCCACACAAGCATGGATGTTTGGTTCCCCGGGGACAAGTAGCGGCAGTGTACCTTGCGCCACTGCGATTTGTCCCAGGGGAAAGCCCGTGCCATAAGTGCTTTGGCATGCAGCAGGTTACCCCAGGTGGGGTAGGGGAATGCGGGGCCAGCACTGGGATCCCGGGGGCTTCCCAGGGCTGCAGCAGCAGCAGTTCTGCCGCGCAGAGCCTGGCCAGCACCCTCTGAGTCCAAGTTACCTTTTCAAATGGATAAAAAGGGTAAATTAAATAAGAGGTGGTAAATTTGTCTTTTCCAGTCCTCCTTTTCTTCTTGGTATTCAGGAAAAGTGACCTTTATTGGGAAGAACATTCAGTCATTTCTTTATCTCAGGCTGCACATATGAAGCTTGCTGTCCAGGGAAGGATATTCACTCTTTAAACTTTTGGCACCTGACCAAGGAACATTAAAATACAATTGCCTAAAAATGCTATATATGAAAAATTCCAAATGCTGTGTCTTAGTTTTTTGAGTGAGCCTGGGAAAGTATTAAAACCATTGGAACTTTAACCCTAAATAAAATGAGGTTAAAATTGTAGTTGCTTTAGCTAACTTGTATGTAGGAACATGCAGACACAAGTTACTGTTACAGCATAACAGCTGATGTGTGTTCCCAAGTGATAGAGACAGGATTCCTGTACCAATAAACCCCTTGGAAACATGGGTCTTGTTCTTCTTTCTTTTTACCCCACCCTTTTATTTGTATTTTTAAACGAGGGAACTCAGCAACACAAGACCAAAGTTTAAAAAAAAGTTACATGTTTTTATGTATAAAAATGTGCAATTTCTTGCCCTTTAGGATCCAGCAGTGAACCAGTTTCTCAGCCTGGTACTTCTGACTTCCAGTGGGATTTAAGCCACAGCCAATCCCCTATTGATGATGAATGGTCCGGGTTAAGTATGTTCCTAATTTTTTTTTTTTTTTGGAGGGTGGGGAGGAGCAACTTTTTTTTAGTTACTCAGCATGATTAGCTTGTTTTCTGGTTTTACGTGATCATTTTTGCTTTAGATAGCTAATTTTTTTTAACTTCTGGGACATTTGTATACCTAAAGGTGATGTTTGATACTAAGAAATAATATGTCTACAACTCTTACTTTAAAAAATTATAATATTTTTTTAGGATTTTTAAAGATAACTAGTTAGGAGAATTTACCTAGTTCAGATATGGTATTTAAGGGGGGAAAAATAAAGCCCCTGCCCGTCTACAAATGTCCAGTTTCATCTGGCTTTTGGTAGAAAGTCTTGTTCACTCCCATAGTAAGCCGAATAGTTTTAATTTATGGAGTGTTTATATTCCAGTATATGAAATGTATGACAAGCCTTTGCACTCCAATTGTTTGTATTCATACCACACTGCAAACTTTAAGTATAGGAAGAGATTTGTAGTCAGCCTAGATTGTTAAATGCCTAACATGGAGTGATTTGTGAGACATGTTTAAACACTAGGAGTGCACCTGTAAAATTTTCTTGGCCACTGCCAGTAGCCAGTGATTAACCAACCAGCTTGCTGCAAGGGCAACATTGGACCCCTGCTAAACCAAATGGGACAACTGACAACCAATGCCCAAGAAAAAGCCAACCTATTAAATGGGTACTTTGCATCAGTCTTTCATCAGTCCCACGGGACACCCATGCCTATTACGAGACGGAGGCCCGGGCGAGGGAGATTTCGTGCCTTCCATCAACGCTGACTTCGTGAAGGAACACCTTGAGAGACTGGACACCTTCAAGTCAGCCGGCCCTGACAGTCTACACCCAGGATACTCAATGAGCTGGCTAGCATCATAGCTCAGCCCCTGGCACGGATCTTCAAGAACTCCTGGCATTCTGGTGAAGTGTCCAAAGATTGGAAGAAGGCCAATGTGGTGCCTATCTTCAAGAAAGGGAGGAAAGTGGATCCGGCAAAGTACAGGCCCATCAGCCTGACCTCTGTCCTGGGCAAGGTCTTGGAAAAGATTATCAAAGAGGCCATTCTTAACAAACTAGCTGACAGCAATATCCTGAGGGATAGCCAGCATGGGTTTGTTGTGGGTAGGTCTTGCTTGACCAATCTCATTTCCTTCTACGACCAGGTGACCTATCACTTGGACAAGAGAGAGGAGATTGATGTCATATATCTTGACTTCAGAATAGCCTTCGATCTGGTATCCCATGATCACCTCTTGGCAAAACTGGCCAACTGCGGCCTCGGGTCCACCATGATCCGCTGGCTGGGGAATTGGCCCCGTGGTCGGACCCAGAGGGTGGTGTTTGACGGAAGTCAATCATCATGGTGCCCTGTGACCAGTGGGGTCCCCCAAGGCTCTGTCCTTGGACCTGTATTGTTCAACATCTTCATTAATGATGTGGACATTGGAGTCAGAAGTGGACTGGCCAAGTTCGCCGACGATACCAAACTTTGGGGTAAAGCATCCACACC